ATTTACTAGTATAATAATTTTCAATAGTGTACTACAGGTAGTACATCAACTTTTGCAAAAATTACAAGTTAAAAAAATTTTTTTAGAATAATTTTATTAATAATAATATTAAAATAAAGAATTTCTGTAATATTATAGCAATTATTAGATTTTTCCATGCAAAATTTTTTTAAAAATTGATTTTTTTGATTTTTTTAAAGCCTTTAATAAATGTACTATTAATAGTACAAAGGTGTAAATCCAATTCATTAATAATAAATTTTAAATTTTAATTCTATTTTAAAACTATTTTATTTTTAAAATAAAATTTTTTTTTTCTTTAATAACCATGTACTTAATTTTATTAAATATTTAATACTTAATATAAGACTATATTATTTAATAGACAAATTAGACTAAAATTTAACTGTCTCTTAAAGATAGTTATTGTACTGATGTTGGCTACTATACTTATATATGATACAGTATATTTAAAGATATTATCTAGCCTGGGCTTAGCTTCTATTACATCAGAACCTCTTTTTTTCTTCAAATTTTTCTTTTTTTTCAAGAAATATGAGACAAAAGAGAGAAAGTTTAAACAAAGAGATTACAAAAATAATCAGAAAAAGAAAAATAAACAAAAAAAGGAAAAAAAGAAATACAAATTTATAAAAAAAATATATATATATAAAAAAATTTAAAACTTTAAAGATACTATTATAATTTATGCATAATTAATAAAAATTATATCTTTCTTGTAAAGCTTTGTCTTAATGTTAAATTTATTTTCTAATCTTCTTACTAACTCCGGATATTTTTGTTGTCTGTTCTAATTTATATCTTAAGCCAAATATTGTTTTAAACTACTTGCTACTATAATTAGAGTTTCTAGACTAGGTTTTATAAAGTAGCACTATATTTATTTATAAACAAATATATGATTATATTCTACTAGTTTGTCTGAATTTAAAAAGTAAACAATGCTGATCTTTTGGACAAAATAAGTCAAATCTTTACTTTTTGTCAAAAGAAAGTAAAAAAAAGAATAGTAAGAGCTACTTGGCTAAGAAAAAGGAGTATATCTTAAAAGAAATTCATTTTTTACTATTTTCTAATTGTTTTGCAACTAATAGCTTTATTAATAAAAAACTTGATCTTCATTTATTCACCAAAATTTTGTATACAAGAGCATTATCTTTTACTAGTTATCTTATATACTGGTGCTTTTAGCTTGTATATTAAATATATAAAGGAGTTCTTTATTAAGCTATAGAGTTGATACCACATTATTAATTTATCTTATTACAGGTTACAACTTTCTAGTATAGAAACTAGGCTTTTCTTTTTATTAGAAATTTTGGTCCAAGTAATCGTTAAAAAGAGTTTCTTTAAAATAAATTTGCTAAAATAGTATATATTATATATATATTTATCTAAACTTGTATTTAATATTTGAGATTAGAACTAACTATTAAATTTTTGTTATTATTTATTTTTACTTTTATTAAGTTTATTAGCTTTAGTATTTGCTTTTTGTTTTTTTGTTTTTGATTTTTTTAAACTATTAATCTAGTTAGTTTAAAAAATTGATTTGTTTAAATATTAAATATTTTATAATTTATCTTTTATTAAAATATACTTCTAAAATATATAATATAACTTTAGTAACTATATTAGCAAATCTTAATACAAAATTTTTTGTTATCTAATTTTAAAATTTCCTTTTTAATTTTGGTTTGTTATTTTATTAAAAATTGGTTACTTTTTAACTTAGATCTTGCCAAGCTAGTTTTAGATTTTCTAATAATTTTTTTAGATTTATATAATTTAAAAAGCTTATTGTAAGTTTGAACTAACTATATTAGCTTATTTTTTTATATAATTTGTATTATATAGATATATTAAAACCTTTTAAGATGTAAAGTTTGTTAGTATAACTAGAATTACAAACAATATATCTAATTGACAAAAATCATTATTATAAGGCTATATAAATAAAATTATTAGTTGAAAAAATTTTATAAAAAAAAAAATTACTATTTTTCTTAGCCAATCATATTTTAAAAAAGGGCTAATTTTTTTTAAAAAAAAATAAATTTTTTTCCCGGGCGGCCGGGTCATTTTTTACTATTTATGTTGATGAGAAACGAATAATTTTATTTTATATGGCCTTACATACGGAATTCACCGTATTATACGTATGCCCTGAATTTGCGGCGAATTCCGTATGTAATACGGAATTATATTAAAATTTCGGAAAACTTTTTTATAACTATTAGTGGTTGAATGCAAATTGTTTAAAGAGGGTTAACTATTCACCCGGGTGAGAAATAAATTATTTCTTTAATATATATATTATTTAATAAAATTAATATTTAAAATTTTGCCTTTTAACCACCTTTTGAACTTTAACGAAAAAAAGTTTTGCCAAATTACTATAAACTATACTCCTATTTTATCACAACCTTGATCTAATCCTAATATTAAAAAAAATTATCTCGATTTTATGTTACATCTAAATTATGTATTGTAAATTATATGAATACGTATTTCTTTCATGATGTTAATTTTTTATGATTGGTATAATTATAAAATCTTATTTTACTCTACTAGTATAATTAAACTTAAAATCTATTATTTGTAAATATTTTTATCTTATATCTTACATAAAAATCAAAATAATAAAAATATATATATAAAAATGGTAACTTTTTTAGTTAGCCACTATCTGTCATGTTATTATTTTCTTTTGATTTTTCCAATAACACCTTTTTTTTTCTCAATCCCAATTGTAGTCCAATCGCCACCGTAATCATGACCAGGATACACCACAATCTTATTATCCAATCCACCAAGTCTTTTTCTCAAAGTTTTTTTCATCTGTTTTGAATCTCCGCCGGGAAGATCCAACCTTCCGACACATCCACACATCAATGTGTCGCCGGTAAATAACCTTGTTTCATTAACCAATATTGATTGACTACCTTCGGTGTGTCCCGGCGTATGAAGAAATCTTAAGAGAGTAAAGTTACCCAATGAAAGTGTGAAGTTATGTGGGGTTGGAATTATTCTTGATGGATTAGTGTTAGATAAAGCTGAAGAGGAATTAAAAGTGGAATTTATTATTAATGAAATGAAATTAGCATTACAGAAATGTAACTGCCGATTTCTAATTTTTAATTTTGAGAGAGGTATTGAAGTGAATAGGTCCGATAATTCAGGATTTGCTTTAAGCACATATGGAATGTCTAATGGATGTATGTAAGCTTTTAATTTTGGAAAACGCTTTAATAAGTCGCACAAGCCTGATACTTTTATTGGAAGTTGGTTAAATGGTGGAGGTGGTTTTCCTATTAATACATAAAAATGAACATAGGAATGTTACATAAGAATATATAAATAAAAATAATGAAACATGTTATAGAGACTATTGGCATATGCATAATACCTCCAACGTGATCGAAGTGGTGGTGGGTTACAATAGCGCCAACAAGTTTCAAATGCCTGTCTTTGATAAATTTTATGATACCATCAACGTCCCAACACTATGTATTGGTATAATTAAAAATTAAAAATTTGTTATTACATTATAAAAAAAAGAGTACAATGTTTTTTTAATACTTACAGCGTCAACGACAATACATTCTTTTGTATCATTGTCAACAATGACATAAATCAAATTTTTCATTTTCACAGCAAAATCAAATATTTTATTTTGTATTTTGTTGGCTATCGAATTCTTTGGTATGCATATATCGCGACCGGGCACCAATGAGTGTATTGTTAAACCTGTTTCATATAGCAATTTTCGGTTCAAATAATTTAAATAAGTTTATCATGACATGAAACAAAACAAATAAAGCGCGACTAATTTACCCATTGATTTGTTATCTTTTAGGATTAAGGCTTTTTCTATCCGAAGTGGAATTTGTGTATTACGTGGATTCTAAATAATAAATATATAAAATAATAATAAATTATTATATAATAAGTTAATAATATATATTAAATTATTAATAATAATAAAAATATACGTATTAATAAATTAATAATAATAAAAATATACGTATAATAAATTAATAATAATAAAAATATATAATAAATTATATGATAAATTATATAATACGTAATATATATATATAATAATAAATATGATAATTCATGATAATAATAATTATATATTATTATTTTTATTATTATTATTATTATTATTATTATACTGTATATTAATTATTTATTACGTATAATTATTATTTTATCATTATCATTATTTGTTTATTATTATGAATCTTACCTTCTGTTGTGCGACACGGTAACAATCTAACGCCTCTTCATATTTCTCTAATTGCATAAGAGCTTCGGCCTTTCGAAAATAGCCCTAAAAATATAATTGGTAAATAATCGCGCATACTCATCGTTAATGATTTGCACGTTATTTTTTTTTACTATCGATACCTTTGGCCATTCAGGCCTGATTCGAATAACTTGTTCTGCATCTTTTACTGCGTCTTTCCATTTTTTACGTTGAAAAAAACTTGCACTCCTATTAGAAAACACGAGAGCAGCAAATTCTGATGTCTTTTTTGATTCTGGATTGGATTGTAATATTGATAAGGCTTTGGAATATTCTTCTAATAGATTAAAATATTTCAATTTTATTATATTATTTCATTTATTTTTAACCAGTGAATTAATTAACAGGCTTAACAAACCTATAGCAGATTCGTAATCTTTTTTCGAATAGTAATTATTAGCACGAAAAACTGCTTGAAACGTTTTATCGTCTGGCGCATTTGGTCGAAATGCCGAGGAAAGTTCGGAAATTTTTGATTTAGAACCCATTTTGTTTTTATCTCATAAAAATAGTAATGATTATTGTTTAGATTGTATGATATGCAAAAATAATGAATTCGTAAAGTTAATAGAATTATGATCTATCGTTCAGGGGAATTGGTAATCGTGATGATACATGTATTCGAAAGGTTTGGAAGAAAAAAAATCTTGATACTTAAATTCGCGGTCTCGTCAACTGCAAAGACATTTATACGTATAAATATATTTTTTATATTATTAAAAATTAAATAATCATAATCCAATCAAAAAAGAAAAGAAAAAAAAAGAAAAAAAAAAAAAAAAAGGAAAAAAATAAAAAAGGCAATGCAGTTTTAGGATTCGTTTTATGATAATTACATTATTCAAAATTTTGACGTTTCAAATAATGATAGATTAGGTCGTACTGAATATGTATTGTGAAAACACATGGCCTCTTAGATCAACAAATGATTCGTTTTTCCCGAGACTCAAACGAACTATGAAACCGATACATTGTGAATGTATTTGGATTTGCCATTGATAAGTATGCATAATGATGCGCAATGAGAGGCAAGGGAAATCTTAACGGAGAATAGTGCAGTCAAAACTTAAGGCATCTAATTTTGCCACCACTTTCCGCTTTTCTGCGATTTCTATTGGTCGCGGAGATATTCAGGTTAGTAAATCTAAACTTAAGGATAGTGGTTTAAAAATTACATTATAATCTGCATTCAAAAACCAATCGCATTTGTCATGAGATGATCTTTACGAATTTATATTTAGATTGTTAATGACGAGCAAAACCACAAAGTCTTATTTCAAAAGAAAATAAAACCTTTAATTATTAACCATTTCACAAATTTGTTTTTATTCCTCAAAAAAAAAAAACGATTGGTGAATTTTTTATATTTCACAGGTTGTCAAACTAATATTGAATTTATTCCCACTGATCTTAAACTTGAACCAAGAATTCCTTGTACTTGCGCATTGTCAGTATCATTGTGATTGGTATCATATTTGAATCACTATTCCTTGATTATAAAATGATGCACCAATAAAAGAATAACAGGGGTTGTAATAACCACGGATTATATAACGTACGTATGTATATTTAATAGTGTGACATCATACATGTGGCATGAGTGTTTGCTCACAATGTTTGGGATAAAATATGCACGTGATAACATTTCAAATCTTGTATGAGTCATTCTACCACGTTTTGTTAACTGTAGCTTGTGATCATTAACATTTAAACTTATTGAGAAATTTTAAGTTAATGACTTGATAATTATTAGTCATCTGATATATTTATAGTTACCTGATTTAGTTGTTTATCGTTATCGTTATCGTTATTGAGTATTTATTTAAATTGGCGCAAAATGGCGACAATTGACGCTAAGAGTATGCTTTGTATTTCAATGTCAATCTGACCCAATTGTCAATCGTGTCAACCTGGACCTTAATTTAGATCGACTATTTAGACAAGATTGAATTGAGGCACAATATGTTTAAAATATCACAATCTGCGGATTTGTGGAATTTGACCTTTATTTAAATCCCTAAAAATCTATGAGATCCAGTTACTATGTATTACTAAAACATTAGTATCAGAACCTAAAAATGAGCAAAACCCTTCATTTTTTTTTGGTATTACTCAATTTGTTCCGATGCTAATGTTTTAGTAAATACGAATCTCGTAAATTTATAAATTTAAATAAAGGTTAAATTCACAATTTACCATGTTATATACAGTACTTTAAAATTATATAAATTTTTTAATCTAGTTTTTGAATAAAAATTAATCTATTAAAATTTTTTTTAACTTCTTTAATAATTATATTATTTTATTTATTATTATATAAAAATATAAAAAAGTTAATAGTAATAGAATTAAATTTTTTAAAATTTAAAATAAATATTTCAACAACTATTAGGCCGAATTTAATAAAAATTTTAATTTAATTTTATATAGTTATAAAATATTTTTTTTTATATTTTAAAAGTAATATCTGTTTTATTTAAATTTACAAAGATAAAGATATAGTTAGACCTTGATATAATTACCAAGTTGAGAAACAAAATTTTGGAATTATAAAAAGCTAGAACTATATAAAGATCAAATTTTATATGTTTTATAATAGCTAGATTAAATAATAGTATAATTATTTTTTATTTTTTTAGATATTAAAGAGATCTCTCTGGCCTAAAAGCTTTTATTAGGATTTGAAATGATGTTATACAATTACAATGATAGTACATCAAGCCACATGTGCACTTTTGGTGCCTAATTTAAGTAGTCTGCCTGAAGGTTCTATACTATCTGCTGTGCCTAGGAAGGTACCTATTTAAACCATCTGGTTTCAACCACCATTATTTAATTACCTAACCCAGGTTTCCCTACCATTTATGTATAGATTTTGAATATCACTTTTGCAAAGGATGCACTAATTGTCTTAGGACTTACCAACTATTTCTGGCTAATTTATTCTTGAAGTAAATCTAACAGAGTGGTACATGTTCTATATATATATTCACCTGCATGTTCTGTAACAGCTTTCTAATTAGTACATATTGGCCTGCTATTTTATATATATATCTCATGCCACCTTTTGGAGTGCTGCCATTCTATAGATATTTCTCAAGCACCAATCTTTTAAATTAGATGTTTATTACATACTTTTGCCTTTATTTAGTTTACAACAACTCTGATACCTACATTTGAACGGAATCCCTTCAACTCACCAACAATCACTTCGAAAACATCATATTTTACCAAACTCATTTTACTGACAAGATTTTTTTACAGACGATTAATTCACTGACATTTAATTTACTGACATGTGTGTTTTAATTTTCACCAACACAAAAATTTACTGAAAATCATTTTACAGACAGTTTAAATTTACAGACAAGCTTTTTTTGAGTCATAATGATTATTTTACAATGTTATAACAATAATGTCAATGATTTTAAATTTTCATTCGAATGCTTGTTCAACATGTTTGGTACATTTAGTTTGTATGAGAATTTATGAAAAAAACTTTCATGTCAACCAATAAACCTTAACAAAAAATGTAAAAAGAAATCGAATATAAACTAGACTCTTATAATAAATATATTACTCGAACAGGTGCTACTATTAAAAAAACTTAAATATGATCATGAATTTGTTGACTAGTTATTATTAATATCTGTCAAGAATGCATAAAGAATTATGATAAACTAAATTAAAATAAAAAATTTATGTATATATTTATTTATATATTTTTCATCTTTGACAAAATAATTAGAAATAAATAATGCTTTCATTTGAACGAAATGAATTTTGCCAAAAGAATAAGAACTGAAATTTAGTTTAGTTTTTTAATAATGAATTTTTCGTCTTTGACAAGAAACAAAAAATAATTAGAAATAAATAAATATTTTTGTTTGAATGAAAATAGATCTTGCAAAGAATAGAATTAAAATTTAGTTTAATTTTTAAAATCGAATTTTTCTTCAACAAAGAAATGAAAAAATAGTAGAAATGAATAATAGCTTCATTTGAACGAAAATGGATCTTGCCAAAGAATTGGAATTAAAGTTTTATACAATTTTTTAAAAACTAATTTTCGTCAAAAAATAATTAGAAATAAATAAAGGCTTTGTTTGAATGAAAATAGATCTTGTTAAAGAATAGGATTTTAAATTTTTTAAAAACAAAATTTCGTTAAAAAATAATTAAAAATAAATAAAAGCTTTATTTGAATGAAAATAGAACTTGTCAAAGAATATTAATTAAAATTTTACTTAATTTTTTAAAAACAAAAATTTTATCAAAAAATCAATTAGAAATAAATAAAGGCTTCATTTGAATGAAAATGAATCTTGCTAAAGAATAGTAATTAAAATTTTATACAGTTTTTTAAACCTGAATTTTCATCAAAAAATCATTAAAAATAAATAAAGGCTTTGTTTGAATTAAAATGTATTTTGCCAAAGAATAGTAATTAAAATTTTAAACAATTTTTTAAACATGAATTTTTGTCAAAAAATCATTAAAAATGAATAAAGACTTCATTTGAGCAAAAATAGATTTTTCCAAAGAATAGGAATTGAAATTTTATATAATTTTTTAAAAATGAGCTTTTATCAAGAAATGAATAAAAGCTTTATTTGAGTGAAAATGGATCATGCCAAAGAATATCGATTTTAGTCTTATTGCTATATTGTAATATATATTAGTCACCTGATCTTATTAAATTATGCATCTGATATTATCTGCTACTGAATTCCAAAATCAATTACTTATTGACTTCGGCCAAATAAACTTTGGCAAATTTTTTTAAAGTGTTCCAGGATTTATGAAAACAGCTATAATTTTATTGCTAACACTAGTCTTACTCTTTTTATTGTCGGTGAAATATATTGTTAGTGAATTTTAGTATCGGTAAAGAAAGCTTGTCTGTAAATTTAAACTGTCTGTAAAATGATTTTTAATGAATTTTTGTGTAGTGAAAATTAACAAGTTGGTAAAACAAGCATGTCGGTAAATTAAATATTGGTGAATTAATCATTTGTAAAAAAAGCTTGTTGATAAAATAAGTTCAGTAAAATGTGATATTTTTGAAATAATTGTTAATGAATCAATACGGACCCCATTTGAACCATCTTTTTACTCAAATTTTTTATTGGTTTCTCCCTTACTTCTAGCTAGCAACTCAGAAGGGTTGGTCTGCTTAAATTTTAGGTACCTAAAGGATGCTCTTCTCTTGGTCCATACTTTCAAAATATATATCTTTTTTTTTTGGTGTAATAACCCAGTGGTTCAGCTAGTGTGTTATTTGCCATAAAACCTGGTTACTCAGTTCTCTGATCTTGGGCCCTGGTTCAAATTCAGCCCTCCTGTAATACCATCAAAGATTACTACAACCTCCAGATTCAGGTCTTCCCAAATAGGTTTTTGGTTATACCAGTTTTTTAAATTTATTATACCAAAGCTTCTATTACTAGATAGTGTGACCAAAGTTACAGATTTAGTTCTAGATCCA